TGCTCCGTCTCCCGCGGGGCTCAGGGCAGCCGCTGCGACACAGCCTGATGCCACCACGCCGCCCTCTGCCACAGCATTGGGGGACCCTCCTCCAAAACAGAACCGCTGGGGGTGAGGGAGCCGCAGGCCACCTGCTTGTCCCGGGTGTGGGGCTTGTTGCTAAAATATGCAGGGTCCTCAGGAAGACCCTGCCTCGTTGGATTGGAAATGAACTTTTAGAATATGGTTCCTTTTCTCCAGCTATTTATGCCTCTCTGAGGTTCAAAATAATAAGGGAAGTCTGTCTTTCCTTCTGAGAGGAGGTCTGCCAGTATTTTCTTGTCACGTCGCCTGACTTTGAACTTTGACTTTTGCGGGGTCCCCACGCGAGGTAGCTTATGGCCACCTCTGTCATTAAAAAACAGTCATGTGAGGCATCCTGGTAAAAATGGAAACCTGTCGCTGCGTTGCGGTCCCTGTCTAGACGCTCGCCCCAGGCTGTGCACACGCGGCCTGCTGTCACCACACCTCATCATTAAGGGGGTACTCTCAAGTCTGGTTATCAATTCAGGGCAAAGGAGTGTGTTTTTGTTTTTGTTTTTGTAACACCTTGTGAAATATCTAGCTTGTGCGTGATATTTTCTTTCCTGCTCTGAATTTGGCAGTTCTGCCCCCGAGCAGCAAGGGACAGATAGAAAGTGGATCTACTTCTAAATTAGACATGGCAACCCTTTTCACTCTCATCGTCTGCCTAAAACGTCGGCCCTGGTTGAGTGATTTTTCCAGCAAACTAGTTAAATGTCAGCCACTGGTGTCAACCAGAAAGGGAAGACCAGCAGGGTGGACCCAACATTTGGGTGGCTCCGGCTGAAACCTCACCCAAGAGGCAGGTTTTTGCCAGGACTGCCACCCCCAGTGCAAGCAAGGGCACCCTGCCAGACAGATGACATCGCAGGGCTCTTACAAGTTGTCTGTGCCAGGCCCCGGGGTGTGTTCCTCACCTTGGAACAGCAACATGGATGACCGGGATGGTGGTTAACTCCACCTCTTTTTATGGAGTCTGTTTTTACCTCAGTCATGCAAGTCACTGGCAACAGGGTCACTGCCTCCCAGTGCCTCCCTCTCTGCTAGAGACTCGAGCTAGTCCTCTCTACCATCGGACTGTGACTGTGGCCCCAGCAAGAAGAGACCATTCAACCTCTGCGACTCAGGGAGGGGCCAGGTCTGTCACTGGGAGTTGGATCTCAAAGGACAGATACTTCCAGGCTCGGGGGCAGGAGTGGGAAGGCCAGATGCCAGGGGCTACCCACTGCCGGGAGGCTGGAGGGAGAAGAGGGGCAACCAGGGAGAGCCGCCGTAAGAGGATCACCGTGTGCCCCTGCTCTGCTCCTGCCAGTGGAATTTCTGGAAGAGTAAAGTGTATATTTGTGTTGGGTTCTGGGACCTTAAGTGTTTGGGTGGGGAGTTAGGGATATTGTCATTGGCTCAATTTTCATTTATTTTTAAATAAGTTTAGATTAGTCGGGCTGGGTGGCTCAGCCTGTAATCCCGCGCCTTTGGGAGGCTGAGGTGAGTGGATTGCCTGAGCCCGCGGGTTCGACACCCGCCTGGGCAGTGAGACCTCATCTCTACTAATAAATCAAAAAATCAGCGGGGTGTGGTAGCGCATGCCT